AGGTAACAAGTCTATGTCAGTATATAGCAGAGACTAAACTTTTTGGATAACAAGCCTGGGTCAATATATAGCAAGGACTAAACAGTTCGGATAACAAGTCTAGGTCAGTATATAGCAGGGACTAAACAGTTCGGATAACAAGTCTAGGTCGGTATATAACAAAAACTAAACAATCTGGATAACAAGTCTAGGTCAGTATATAACAAAAACTAAACAATCTGGATAACATTTCTGTATCTTTGACTATCAGGCACAAAACAGTTTGGGTAATAAATCTGTATCTGTAGTTAGCGAGGGTCTAAACAGTTGGTATATACTTATCTATCAATTCATAGAAAGGGATTGAACAGTTGGGATAAGCCTTCTGTATCTAGCAGGGAATCAACAACTAAGATAACACTTCTGTATCCGCAACTAACAGGGATAATACTTCTGTATCTCTATCTAACATGACTAAACAGTTGGGATAAGCCTTCTGTATCTAACAGGGGCTAAACGATTGGGATAATACTTCTTTATCTAACAGAGGACTAAATAGTTAGGATAATACTTCTATATATAAGAGGAAACTAAACAGTTGGAATAATACTTTTATATCTAACAGGAGACTAAACAGTTGGGGCAATACTTCTGTATCTAACAGGGGCTAAACAGTTGGGATAATACTTCTTTATCTAACAGAGGACTAAACAGTTAGGATAATACTTCTATATATAAGAGGAAACTAAACAGTTGGGGCAATACTTCTGTATCTAACAGGGGCTAAACAGTTTGGATAATACTTTTATATCTAACAGGAGACTAAACAGTTGGGATAATTAAATTTCTTTATTTCAACACTTTAATATTTGTGAAAGGTTATCCTAGAAGAAGTAATGTTCTTAGTTTAATCACCGTGAAATGTTATCCTTTTATAGATTTGACCTTCGTTAATTGTTACCCTTCTAGTATTAATATTCGCGATGTGTTTATTGGTTTAATTAATCACAGTGAAATGTTATTCTTCTGATTTATTCTACGTGAAATGTTATAGGTTATCAATGTATTGCTGTTTGTTTTGACAATTTTCAATTCATATTATTAAGATAAACACTCTCTTAAAATTAGCCAGATCAGTGCATTAAGAAATAAAAGATGTAAGTATATATTTAATTAACGTTTTATTTTAGTGATCTTGGCATTTTACTTTATATCAGAGTAGCTAAATGTAGTTACTATACAACATTGTTCGTTTTTACAATGTCACTTAATAATTCATGTTTAGAGCACAGTACATAAGTATAGTTACTGTACAACATTGTTCGTTTTTACAATATCACTTAATAATTCATGTTTAGAGCACAGTACATAAGTATAGTTACTGTGCAACATTGTTTGTTTTACAATGTCACTTATTGTTGAGCTATTTTTTCTTTTTTGCTTCTAGATTACAGTGACAACCCTGACGTCAGCAGTACTGCGAATACAGATAGACTTGCAAACAACCAAGGATTGCTATTCCAGAACAATGGAGCTACAGCCATGGGCCAAGCAGTGTTTTCAATAGAAACGTTGTTAAGAAACATTCAAGGTCTTTTAAAAATGGCTGCAGATAACGCCAGGCATCAGGAACGGCAACTGAATTTAGAAAAAGGTCAGTGTAATATATAGAGAAAGTGATAGTAAAAAAAACTGTATTTAGTGATGTGCGTTAAGTTATATATATTTATTAAAAACATAACTTGAGAAAGAAATACAAAACAACAGTGTATATGAGAGTGAGTTGAACCAGTGTATTTTGTACTTTGATAAGGTTTGCTAACGACTGCAGAAAACTAGGTAGCGGACAGTCAAAATAAGGGTAAAAAAAAGAACTCCAACCAAACATGATAATTTTGTGGAACCAAAGCCAAATCCAACATGTAGAAAGACATTATTCAGGAAGATTAAATACAAAAACTACTCGAATAAAATATAACATTGTTTTTCTTTCTTCCTTTTAAGTAGTTTTTTTTTTACGCAACATATCAAAGACATATAGTTCAATCACATCTAATTTTCGTAAAAGTGGAAATAAAATGGGGTGTTTAAATTTTTTTTTCGGGCAGTTAACTCGAATGTTGAATAAACTGAATGCTTAAGTAAAAAATAGGAGTGATTGCAAATGTAATTAACTTTTATTAAATATGTTATAATACAGATTTGTTGAATGTCAAACTTAGAAAAGATCTATAGAGCTAAACTGTGAGAAACACAGATAAAGCACAGTTCAACACGTCCGAACCAACAGTATTGTCATTTTTCCGTTCCTCGCTATTATGAATCAAAGAGTTTTAGTGTGTATTGTTTCGTGAAGCTACTTACATTTCAAAAAAAATTAAAAACAAATAATCAGAACGTCGAGCTTCTGTCTCTTTTTTTTCTCATTTCTTTAAGTAACTTTCAACATTATCATCATTTGTACATTCGATATTATGTTTATAACTGAGACGAAACCGAAATCTAAATTGTGTCTTTCACAGTCGAGTTGCGTGTGGAAGCCACTAGGGAGCGCGAGCTCCGTGAAAATCTGGAGAAACAACTTTTGGAAGAGCAGAGGGCGAGAAGTAAGTAAACACCCAGTGTAATTTTAACAGTTACAATATCGAACTGAATAAGATAAATATTATTGAACTTAGATCAAAACTATGAATACCTTAATTAATGTTATGCTTATCGATAGTCCGTTAATATCTGCCCATAATAAGATCATATTCTGTTTAATACTATAAATTTGTGGTTAATTTCTTAAAACTAATATACGAAAAAATAATGACAAACTTCTCAGAGTTTTTACCACAAATGACGATGTTATATTCATCACATATTCCATCTTACAACTTCAGTTCCTATATGATTTGTTCTGAGAGACGGCTAATAGATTTACTGTAAACTTTAATCCCTGATCTAAGCTATACCTCGACGAAATACATAAAAATGTAAGCGACACGTAAAAAAATGAATTAATTAAATATTAGCCAGTAATGTTAAATATCGAAACCTAAACCAAACCCTTCTGTTATGGATATGTATATACTTGTTTTGTTTTTTGCAAGATACTACCACACTAAAATATTCGACTGAAGCACATTAACTACTCTTATGTAAGTTACTAACCTTCAAAGTTTTATCTAGAAGGCACTTAGTCTAAGTGAGATACTAATGAATCAAACCTTCATCTATAAAATATTTACTCTGAAAAGTAAAAAAGAAAAAGCATTAAGCACCAGACTTTTATCAAAAAGACTCTAATTCTAATTATGGTAAACCTAATATGTATCATGGCATTTTTCATTAAAGCTTGCTTCTTTATTCAATGAAACGTTCTAAAATATGGTAGCAATTTCAACCTGTTTTACAGTTTTAATATGCAAGCAATGATGAATACAACTTTTAGAATTGGTTGTTATATATATAATCTAACAAAACCTTTTTTGGTTGTATTTCAACTAACTAATTTTACTGAAGTTCGAAGTTACATTGGAAAAGAAATAATTTTTGTTATAGTAAGTAAAAGATAAAACACCGATATGACTTAGAAAGGCGAAATAATGTGAATTTCAAATGTTGAATGATACACATTACAAAGATGGAGTTATTTGGGTTACAAAAGTAGGGTGATGGGGTTTACAATGATGGAGTTATGTGGTTTACAAATTTTGGGCGATGCGTCTTACAAAGACGGAGTTATGTGGTTTACAAAGTTTGGGTGAAATGGCTTGCACAGATGGAGTTATTTGGTTTACAAAAGTAGGGTGATGGGGTTTACAATGATGGAGATACGTGGTTTACAAATATAGGGTGATGCGTCTTACAATCATGGAGTTATGTGGTTTACACATTTTGAGTGGTACGGCTTACAAAGATGGAGTTACGTGGTTTACAAAAGTAGGGTGATGGGGTTTACAATGATGGAGTTATGTGGTTTAAAAAATAGGTTGATGCGGCTTACAATGATGGAGTTATGTGGTTTACACATTTTGGGTGATATGACTTACAAAGATAGCTATGTTTATTGCAATGGTGGGGCGATGTAACGCAACATTTGTTGGAAATGTCTTACAAAGATGGACTCAAGAAATGTGCTCAGCTATATTTTAAGCGCTCATTAAGCTTCTGAAGCACTTTCTGTTCAAGGGGTAAAATGTAGGACAGTTAGCATTTATTACTTTTTTTTTGAAGCGTATCTGTTTGTTTTAGTTCAAAGTGGCACAATGGACTATCTGCGCTGTATCCGCCTCGGGTATCACTCTCCAATTATATCATTATAATCGACCAATTTTACCATTGTGCTACTGTGTGCTTATGCGTATTTGTCAAGTATAAATTCTATAAATATACGTGAAGTTAATACTATTGTCTGTAGTGGATTTATTGTAGTGATAAATACAGTTTATTATTATGCCAGATGTGGATGTATAACATGGGTAAGCTTAATACTATTGTCTGTAGTGGATGTATTGTAGTGATAAATACAGTTTATTATTATGCCAGATGTGGATGTATAACATGGGTAAACTTAATACATTTGTCTGTAGTGGATGTATTGTAGTGATAAATACAGTTTATTATTATGCTAGATGTGGATGTATAACATGGGTAAGTTTAATGCATTTGTCGAGAACATAAGTGTTTAGTCACAGGATAAAATTCAACCTTTTATTAGGATAATATGTACTGTATATTCCTGCGAATGAGGATAAGATTATCACCAAGAGTAGATTTATATTGTTTCAGTTGAGTTTATTGTTCCGTTAGGAGTAAACGTGAAAGCGGATGAGGTTAATAGTTCTGTCAGAAGTAAGTTTATGAAGTAATGGACTAGATTAATAGTTCTTTCATAAGTTAATGATGAGGTTAATACTTTTGTAAGGAGTAGACACGAGGTTGCTAGTACAAGTATTTGGCATCACATGAGGTTAATAATTCCTTCAAGAGTATTCACGACGACGTATATGAAAATGAGGTTAGTAGATCTTTCGGGAGTACAAGTATTTGGCAACAGATGAGGTTAATAATTCCTTCAAGAGTATACACGAGGACGTATATGAAAATGAGGTTAGTAGATCTTACGGGAGTACAAGTATTTGGCAACAGATGAGGTTAATAATTCCTTCAAGAGTATACACGAGGACGTATATGAAAATGAGGTTAGTAGATCTTTCGGGAGTGCAAGTATTTGGCAACAGATGAGGTTAATAATTCCTTCAAGAGTATCCACGAGGACGTATATGAAAATGAGGTTAGTAGATCTTTCGGGAGTACAAGTATTTGGCAACAGATGAGGTTAATAATTCCTTCAAGAGTATCCACGAGGACGTATATGAAAATAAGGATAGTAGATCTTTCGTAAGTACAAGTATTTGGAAACAGATGAGGTTAATATTTTCATAGATGTACATGTTTGTGACAATGGAAGAGGTTAATACTTTTGTAAGAAGTAGACACGAGGTTGCTGGTTCCGTCACGAGTTGGTATATATGACCACGAATAATGTTAACAAACTATAAAAGTTCTCTAAAAAGTTACTATATAGCCGTAGATAGTGCTAATTCAGGATATTAAAAAGTTCATATTTCTGAAAGATTTTGAAAGTAATAACTAATATTCCAACAAACTACAATCAGAATTACAGTTTCATCTCTTATTTCACTTGAAAAATTATTAAACAGCTAATAAGCTATTGTAATCTATTAATTTCGTTCGAAGTTTAGTAAAAAAGGGCTAAGAACTTGTGAAATGACACTTGTAACTAAGAGTAGGCCTCATGAATGTGATAACAACAAAACATTCATTATAAAAACAATTATCTTTACTTTCAAAACTGTAACTTACTCACTTCAGTTATTCCAGAAAAAAAAGCAACAGAGGGAATAGGTCTCTATAAGACTATGCCTCGAGGCATCGTTTCAAGACACGGAATCTGACAGCAACACTCGTGTTAGGTTGACTAGACGCACATGCGCTTGCTGTCTGCTGCACGGGACCGCCTGACCATGAACAGCATTTTGCGGTCTTTTGTTAATTTAAACGGCGGAAAACAGGAAAGTCCAGCCCGATCCTGGCGGATTGGCGCGGGCTTCTTTCATGTGTCCTCTAAGCCTGCAGCACCACGCTCCTGCAAGAGCTGCTATTGTGTGAGGAGCCCAAAGTAAGCCTATTCGACATGTTTTGACTGCAATACCAAGACCAGATCTGACATATAGTGACTGTTGCGTGGAGAGAGACAGTTCATCAAGTGTACGTTTTTAAACGTAACTGAAAGATAATTGTAAAAAAACACTTCAATTCAATATTACTTGGATTTACATATTTGGACTAAAAACTTAGTTCAAGGGTTTATAATATTTTATATACAGCTTCGTATAGAAGGTTTGTTTTAGAGTAAAGCCACATTAGGTTATATGCTGTGTCCACCGCGGGAAATCCGACCCAGTATTTCAGCGTTGTAAGTCCGTAAACTCACCGTTGTCCCACCGGGGGACAACGTAGAAAAAACCATTATTATAATATAATGGATTTGATTTACAAAAATACAAATAAACCTACATAAGTATATATATATATATACATTAAACAATCTTCATATAATTTATTATAAGTTACTATAAATGACATAGATACCACTATAAGTATTTGTAAAATTATTTATTAGTGATACTTATAAATATTTATATATTTATAGTGTTACCTATATTACTTATCAGTAAACTATAATTACATGAAGCTTGTTTATTTGTAATACTTATAAGTATTTATAGTGGTATCTATATC